ACTCCTGGCCTCAAATGATCCACCTGCCTTGGCCTCCCAAATTACTGGAATTACAGGCATGAGCCACCGCACCCGGCCCTGCACTGTTCCATAGAAAAAGCTTGTGTATGGCTGGGTATGGTGGCTCATGCTTGTAACCCCGGCAATTTGGGAGGCCAAGGCAGATGGATTGCTTGAGCTCAGGAGTTCAAGACCAGCCTGGGCAACATGATGAAACCCCATCGCTACCAAAAAAAACCAAAAAACAAAAAAACAACAAAAAAAGAAAGAAAGAGGAACAAAAAATAGCTCCCGTAGACCAGGTGCAGTGCCTCACACCTGTCCACCATTTCCCAACCGAGCTACTGCAGCTCCCTACCTCCTGGGAGCAAGCTACGTAGGAGACACTCCATCACCCCCTTCCCTGTTTTTGCTGGGCCACACCCCTGGCTACTTAAAGCCTGAAAACACAGCGCCTGAACCAACCTCCTTGGGTTTTGGACATGTAAGTTGCCTGAGATACCCACCACATATATACCTCTTTGATGGTAACTGCTCGCTTGCTGTTGGACACTGGTGGGAACAGTGCATCTTACAGCCAGAGCTCTGTGTTACCCTGTAACATGAACTGCCCATTCTCGCTCGGGTGCTCACAAACCTTACCAATAAAATTGGACAGGCTCAGTAGTGCTCAACTATAAAATGGAACAGCATATTCAAGACAAGGCACAGCAGAACCTCAAGGGACCAGTGTACTCCATGAGCAAATGGGTAGCTTACAATAAGGGGTCAAACCATCCTTAAGGGATCCTTTGTCTCCTCTTGTGGCTACCTGGGACCCAAGGTTCGCATATATGCCCACCAAGTATATGGCATGGTTTACTGATGTCTCTGCAAAACAATAAACACACAGGGTCTACTGGGCTTCAGCCCAATGGATGGCCATTCTTTGACCCAGTGAATGGCCATTCAGCCAGTGGAAGGCCATTCTTGACTACGACTAGACACAGACATTTTGCCTAATTAGCCAAACTGCATGCATTGGTAATGGCCCCTGCAGGCCACATCCACCACCATATCTCATCATGTTTTCATGACTCATGAGCCATGCAGACTTGTGTGGAACCCTTTAATGCTGCAGGACAATAGGGGCTCCTTTGGTCCACCCAATCTTTGAAACTGTTGTATTAAGACCTTTGTTTCAACTCCATCAATTTCCATTTCCATTTCACTCATCCCATTTTTTTTTTGAGACAGGGTCTCGCTCTCACCCAGGCTGGACTGCAGTGGTTCAATCACTGCTCACTGCAGCCTCGACCTCCTGGGCTCCAGTGATCCTCCCATCCTGGCCTCCCGAGTTAGCTGGGACCATAAACGTGCACCACCACACCTGACTAATTTTTGTATTTTTTGTAAAGACTCGGTTTCGCCATACTGCCCAGGCTGGTCATCCCATTTCTTAACTACCATCTAAAGATTTCCACTCTGCTGGGAGGACAGCCATGAGATGGAGTCTCGCTCTGTCACCCAGGCTGGAGGAGTTTAGTGGCACAATCTCAGCTCACTGCAACCTCCCCCTTCCACGTTCAAGCCATTCTCCTGCCTCAGCCTCCAGAGTAGCTGTGATTATAGGCATGCACCACCACACCAGCTAATTGTTTTGTATTTTTAGTAGAGACGGGGTTTCACTGTGTGGGCCAAGCTGGTCTCGAACTCCTGACCCTAAGGGGTCCACCCGCCTCGGCCTCCCAAAGTGCTGGGATTACAGGTGTGAGTCACCATACCCAGCTCATGAATGCTTGCTTTATTCACCTTTTTTCTTAATGACCATTTAAAAATGTCCACCTTCATGAGAGAAGTCCTTTGAATCTCCATTATTTTCCCCCATCCATTTTCTTCTTAATTAACTTGATATTGTTAATTGGCACTTGAAAGTTCCAACAGGAGATGTGGAGACAGCAAATTTGATAAGGCTTCCTGAGCTGTCTTTTGGTTTTGTAGAAGTAAGGTACCGTGGGATGTATACATTAAAGGAACAACCTTAAATTATTTTTCTCTCCTTCCTTGCTTGTAGTTCTCAAGAACAATTTCAGAATGTATTGGGAAGGTAATACCCTGAAATATGAAGAAACTGGCCCAAGCAGCCTGGGCTCCATTCCAGAGTCCCCTGCCCCTCTTTCAAAAAACAGGATATCCTTCAGTGCTTTAGGGTGGCTCATCACGAGGCCATGTGCCATAAAACCTAGGATGGGTGCTCTCTGGGATCCATCAGCATCAGTGCCGGTGGGACACCAGTAGATAAGACTCCATCTTCCTCAAGCAGTTTTCCTGAGCCTTGGGGGACCAGCTTGCAATGAATCAATCCTAGGCTTCTACTGCCCCTTGTTGCCTGTCAGTAGTAAACTCACTTTATTGAACTTGTGTGCATGGGTTCTGTCTCACTGGAGTCAGACATTTGGTAACCAGTGCGAAGTGAACCTACATCACAGTCAAGAGAGTTTGTAATCCTCCTATGCTTGGTGGTGAGAATGTACAATGGCACACCCACTATGGAAAACAGTATGTTGGAAAACTTCCTCAATAGGGTACCTACAAAACCTTAGAGCAAACATCATACGTCATGGTCAAAAAGTGAGATTCCTTCCCAAGGTTGGGGACAAGGCAAAGATGTACACTGTTACCACTTTTATTCCACATAGTGTTGGCAATTCTTGGCTGACGGTAGTGGCTCAGTCTGTAATCCCAGAACTTTGGGAGGCTGAGGCAGGTGGACTGATTGAGTCCAGGAATTTGAGACCAGCCTGGGCAAGATGGGGAGACCCCATTTCTACAAAAAAACCCTGAAAATTGGCTGGTGGCTGGGCGAGGTGGCTCATGCCTGTAATTTAATCACTTTGGAAGGCTGAGGCAGGAGGATCCCTTAAGCCCAAGTGTTCAAGACTGCAGTAAGCTCTGACTGCACCACCGCACTCCAGCCTGGGTAACAAAGCAAGACCCCATCTAGAAAAGAATAATAAATGAAATAAGAAAAATAAGAGACCAAAAAGGAAAGCATAATAGTGTACATGATGTGATGGCTGTGGTAAGCTAATGACCCCCACCCCCAAAGATACACATACAAATGATTTCCGTTTCAATAGCTCTATACCCTGTATTACATGGTTTCTCAAAGCAGAGTTTGCAGATGTCATCTGGCTGAGGACCTTGAGATGGCAGAATATCCAGGATTATCTGGTTAAAGCAACATCATCACAAGAGTCCATATAGGAAAAATACAGGTGGACTTAGAATCACAGAGAATTGGCAATGCTTGCATAGCAAAGACACAAGGAGATTTTATGACACTACCTTCTGACTGTGAAAACGGAGGGATGTAGACCATGAGGTAAAGGATCTAAGTGGCCTCTGGAACCTAGCAGGGGTAAAGAAATAAACTCTTCCCTAGAGATTCAAGAAGGATCATAGTTTTGTAAACCTGTTTTGACTTCTGACCACCACACATTAACAGCATAAATTTGTGGGGGTTTTTTGTTTTGTTTTTGAGACGGAGTCTTGCTCTGTCGCCCAGACTAGAGTGCGGTGGCACGATCCCGGCTCACTGCAACCTCCACCTCAGGCAATTCTCCTGCCTCAGCCTCCCGAGTAGCTGGGATTACAGGCATGTGCCACCGCGTCCGGCTAATTTTTGTAGTTTTAGCAGAGATGGGGTTTCACCATCTTGGCCAGGCTGGTCTCAAACTCCTGACCTCATGATCCACCTGCCTCGGCCTCCCAAAGTGCTGGGATTACAGGTGTGAGCCACCATGCCCAGCCTAAATTTGTGTTGTTTTAAGCCACTCACTTTGTGGTAATTGTTACAGCAGCAATGGGAAATTAATAGAATAGTTTATGTAGAAAACCCTAAGAAATCTAAAAAATCTGGAGAACGAGATTTTAAGGAAATAGACTACGAAGTTAACATACAAAAACTACTTTATTTCTATATACTAGCAATTAATACATGGAAATTGAAAATAAAATACAATACTCCTCTGGTTTGAATATCCCCAACAAAACTCATTTGGAAACTTGGTCCCCGGTGTGGCCATATTGAGAGGTGGAGCCTTTAAGAGGTCACTGGATCATGAGAGTTCTGCTGTCATGAATGAATCAATCCATGCACAGATTAGTGGACTGTGTTATCATGGGAACAGAAGTGATGGTTTTATAGGAAGAAGAGAGACCTGAGCAAACAGTATACTCAGCGCTCTCACAATGATGTGCCACATTGCTTCAGGATGCCGCAGTGTGTCTACCAAGAAACCCTTAACAGCATTGACCAAAAAGGTCAAAAAATGTCTAATTTTAGCAAGGAGACCTTTGTTTCTTACAAAGGGTCACAGCCTGCAGGCTAGCCATCTGGCAGGGTGGGAAGCATGGTCTCTATCAGAAGCAACACAGGTAGTTCAGAGGAGGAAAGCTGCCGCAGGAATTTATGCTGAATAGCAGTATGTTGAATATTTAGTAAACATACTCAACAGGTTATGGGAGAGTCATGCCTGTGTGTGATAAGCAAACATACATGTTCCTAGTTTATCTACCAGAACAAAATAAAACTCTCATTTTCTATATTCACTCTTAAGAGGAAACTCACGAACATTAATCTTTTCAAATTATATCAATATTCCAAGAACATCATGAAGGAGGTTTTATCTTTATTCTCCACTTTTTTTTTTGAGACAGTTTTGCTCGTTGCCCAGGCTGGAGTGCGGTGGCGCAATCTCAGCTCACTGCAGCCCCTGCCTCCTGGGTTCAAGCCATTCTCCTGCCTCAGCCTGCCAAGTAGCTGGGATTTACAGGCGTGCGCCACCACATCTGGCTAAAGTTTTTGTATTTTTAGTAGAGATGGGGTTTCACCATGTTGGCCAGTTTGGTCTCGAACTCCTGACCTGAAGTAATCTACCCGCCTCAGCCTCCCAAACTGCTGGCATTACAGGCGTGAGCCACCATGCCTGGCCAAATTAAAAAAAAAAAAATTTTTTTTTTTTGAGACCGAGATTAGCTCTTGGTGCCCACGCTGGAGTGTAATGGCATGATCTCAGCTCACTGCAACCTCCACCTCCCAGGTTCAAGCAATTCTCCTGCCTCAGCCTCCCAAATAGCTGGGACTACAGGCATGCACCACTAAGCCCAGCTAATTTTGTATTTTTAGTAGAGAAGGGGTTTCACTATGCTGGCCAGACTGGTTTCTCCTGACCTCGGGTGATCTGCTTGCCTTGGCCTCCCAAAGTGCTAGGATTACAGGCGTGAGCCACCGTGCCTGGCCTCACTTTTATTTCCCATATTCTTACTATGTATTTTCACTTCATGGAAAACAAGATGCATAGCATAAGTCTTACTTGGCATACAAGAAACTGATGTGGAAATATAATAATATGGTGCATATGCATCAATGGCAATGCAGATTTTGGGGTGTAAGAATGTGAAATTAACTTTCAGTAAGATTTTCATTATACCCCCAAAAGTATCCTAAGCCACAGTGTGGGGCACATAATTCAAGCGCAAAATGTGGTTATAGGTTTCCAAAACTGTGTTATTTGATTTCACCATGAAAAAAATTGTTCTTGATCCTTTAAGAGTCTAGTGGTGCATTGTTATTATGTTATGAAGTATCCTACTGAGACAGGATAAAACTATGTTGGCAGAAAGAATGTGATTCATTCATAGAGAAAAACCATTCTATTTTATTAGTTAAAACATTATATCTATGATACATTCTGAATAAAACATTAGCAAAGTGTGCTTTAAGCAGATAATGTGAGTTCTACTAAAGAATATGTTACTCTACTTCTGTTGATTAAACTCTTCACTCTGACTACTCTCTCTTCAATTTCTTTCTTTTTTAGATGGAGTTTTGTTCTTGTTGCCCAGGCTGGAGTGCAATGGCATGATCTTGGCTCACCACAACCTCCGCCTCCTGGGTTCAAGCGATTCTCCTGCCTCAGCCTCCCAAGTAGCTGGGATTACAGGCACCTACCAACATGCCCAGCTAATTTTATATTTTTAGTAGAGATGGGGTATCTCCATGTTGGTCAGGCTGGTCTCAAACTCCCAACCTCAGGTGATCCACCTGCCTCAGCCTCCCAAAGTGCTGGGATTACAGGTGTGAGCCACTGCGCCTGGCCTCTCTCTTCAATTTCAAAAACAAGATCAATTTTTCATCACTCTTTGCTAAACAACAGGTATTGCTCTTTAATGGATAAGGGGGCGACCTTTTCCCCTGCAGTATTTCTACCACACAATCAGTGTCTAATTACCTATTACTCTCCTCCCACAAAAATCCCAATGTCCTAGGGTCTTGGCCTGCTCCATTTCATGTTCAGTTGATAGACCATTTCTTTCTCCTAAGCCACAGTACTCTCCTGGTAGGAGAAAGGCACCCTGAACATTATCAGAATGGTGAGTGACATCACGGTTTTACATTGTTTTTTGCCACTCCCAAATGCTAATTCCGACAATACTTGATTTTAAAAGCAAAGTCCTCCTTCTTCACAAATTGGATAGAAATAATCCTTCACCTAATTAATGATCTTCACCCAATCGATGATCCTTCCATCCCAATGATCTTTCCAAGAAACCACCATGGAAGGTGTGTAAGGATGCACAATAACAGATTTCAAAGTTCACATTGAAACTCAACAGTAGGCTTTCCAAAAAACCTTAAATAACTCAATAAAACATTTCATAAGGTGAAGGTAACTGACTGCCTACAAATATCCTGCAATCTTTTCATATATGAGTTAAAAAATATAATTTTTAGCATATTTGGACTGGTGAGTATTCTACAGTGTATAATATCAAAGGCAAACAGGGAAACCAGAGACTGTTATTCCTCATAGGAATTCTCACTTACCGTCAGTCACTGGGTAATGGCCTAAGGATGCATATTACATTTGTTTGGTTTCATCAAAGATATAAATTTTGATGCCTAGTAACCTGCGAGGCCTGGATAAACCCTCTGCCACATGTTTACATGATGTCTCTTGCTTACGGCCTCTCGTATCTATTAATGCTTCAACCCATGAGGGATTAGCCACTGTCACTGCATTTGTAAGGATTCTGTCAAGAATGAATTAACTGATGTGAAAAGAGTGAATTGTACCTAATGACCTCACCACACTCATTTGTAAGGTTTCTCTCCGGTATGCATTCTGTGATGACTTGCAAGATTTGAACTCTGCCTGAAGACCTTGCCACACTCATTACATTTGTAACGTTTTTCTCCAGTGTGGATTGCCATATGGGTAGTTAGACTTGACCTTACCCTAAAGGCTTTCCCACACTCTGTACACCTGTAAGGTTTCTCTCCAGTATGAATTCTTCGGTGATTTGCCAGGTGCGCATTTTGAGTAAAGACCTTGCCACATTCGTTACATTTGTAAGGTTTTTTCCCAGTATGGATTGCCTGATGGGTGGTTAGGCTTGAACGAACACTGAAGGCTTTCCCACACTCATTGCATCGGTAAGGTTTCTCTCCGGTGTGAGTCCTTTGATGATTTGCAAGGTGTGAATTTTGAGTGAAGACCTTGCCACATTCATTACATTTGTAAGGCTTCTCTCCAGTGTGGATGACCTTATGGGTAGTTAGGTTTGAATGCATACTAAAGGCTTTGCCACACTCATTACACTTGTAAGGTTTCTCTCCCGTATGAATTCGCCGATGAGTTGCAAGGTATGAATTGTGCCTAAAAACCTTGCCGCATTCATGACATTTGTAAGGTTTCTCTCCAGTATGTATTGCCTGATGAAAAGTTAGGCTTGAACGATCACTAAAGGCTCTGCCACAGTCATTACACTTGTAAGGTTTTTCTCCAGTATGAACTCTCCAGTGCCTTGCAAGTTGTGACGTTTGAGCGAAGACTTTCCCACATTCATTACACTTGTAAGGTTTCTCTCCAGAATGAATTCCCCGATGACTTCTAAGGTGTGATTTTTGAGTGAAGCTCTTGCCACATTCAATACATTTGTAAGGTTTCTCTCCAGAGTGGATTGCCTGATGGGTAGTCAGACTTGAACGAACACTGAAGGCTTTCCCACACTCATTACACTTGTAAGGTTTCTCGCCAGTATGAATTCTTCGATGATTTGCAAGTTGTGAATTTTGAGTGAAAACCTTGCTGCATTCATTGCATTTGAAAGGTTTTGTTCCAGTATGGATGACCTGATGGGTAGCTAGGTTTGAATGCATACTAAAGGCTTTGCCACATTCATTACACTTGTAAGGTTTCTCACCAGTATGAACCCTCCGATGCCTTCCGAGGTACGAATTGTACCTAAAGACTTTGCCACATTCATTACATTTGTAAGGTTTTTCTCCAGTGTGGATTGTCTGATGAATAGCTAGGCTTGAACGAACACTAAAGGCTTTGCCGCACTCATTGCACTTGTAAGGTTTCTCTCCAGTGTGAATTCTCCAATGACTAATAAGGTGTGAATTTTGAGTGAAGAGCTTGCCACATTCATTACATTTGAATGGTTTTTCTCCAGTATGAATCAACTGATGGGTAGTTAGGTTTGAATGTCCTCTAAAGGCTTTTCCACACTCATTACACTTGTAAGGTTTCTCTCCAGTATGAATTCGCCGATGAGTTGCAAGGTATGAATTGTGCCTGAAGACCTTGCCACACTCATGACATTTGTAAGGTTTCTCTCCAGTATGGATGACCTGATGAATAGTTAGATTTGAACGAACAGTAAAGGTTTTGCCACACTCACTGCATTTGTAAGGCTTCTCTCCACTATGAATTCTCCTATGACTCGTAAGGTTTGAATTCTGAGTGAACGCCTTGCCACATTCATTACACTTGTAAGGTTTTCCACAACTGTTTGCTTTTCGTCTTTGTGTGAGTAATGAAAAATGGTTAAGTTCATGATATTTTTTAGACCTGTGGGTTTGGACACTAGAAGGAATTTGTTGAAGTGGTGACACTGAGGAACCATTGTTCGTAGACTTCTCAACTTGCTTACATTCATACATTTTCCCTTCACCTTGAAATAGCTGCAGTTCAGGCAGATGCGAATGAAAGCTTACTCCCAGCTGATTGTTAATAAGCTTGTTTTCTACGTCTCTTCTGTCGCGCTGATCTCTTTTACGTTCTTTCTGGGTCATAAGCACTCCCTTGTAATTTCCTGTGTCATCTCTCCATTGACACTCAAAGTCATGCATATTTTTCTGAAGTTCCTTGAAGGAAAAGTCTTCAATGTCAGGGCTTTCGTGTCTTTCCAACATCACTGTGTGGAATACTGCTTCTGTACTGCTCTTCTCTTTTGGTAGCAAATCCTTGGTTGTACATTTAGGAGGGATATCTATAAGACATAAAGAACCACACATTTCCAATTAATTACAGTAAATAAGTATTTTACATTGAAAACATATTCCACCAAAAGTAATACTTATATTGAACAGACTTTGGAACTTCAGAACCGTGAATTTCAATTTTTAGGAACAAAAATGTAGTTGTTTTTTTTTTTTTGAGACAGAGTCTCGCTCTGTCACCCAGGCTGGAGTGCAGTGGTGTGATCTTGGCTCACTGCAAGCTCTGCCTCCCGGGTTCACGCCATTCTCCCACCTCAGCCTCCTGAGTAGCTGGGACTACAGGCGCCCACCACCATACCCGGCTAGTTTTGTTTTTGTACTTTTAGTAGAGACAGGGTTTCACCATGTTAGCCAGGATAGTCTCGATCTCCTGACCTCGTGAGCCACCTGCCTCGGCCTCCCAAAGTGATGGAATTACAGGCATGAGTCACCACCCCCAGCCAAAAGTAGTATTTTTTAACAAAGAAAATGCAGTTACATGTAATTCAAATATTTGGGAAGGGCTGGGTGTTGTGGCTCATGCCTGTAATCCCAATGCTTTCGGAGCCTAAGGTGGGAGGATCACAGGAGGCCACGAGTTTGAGACCAGCCTGGGCAACATAGTGAGACCCCATCTCTACAAAAACAAAATAATTTAAAAATTAGGCCAGGCGCGGTGACTCATGCCTGTAATCCCAGCACTTTGGGAGGCTGAGGAGGGTGGATCATGAGATCAGGAGATTGAGACCAGCTTGGCAAACATAGTGAAACCCCATCTCTACTAAAAATACAATAATCAGTCAGGCGTGGTGGCATGCACCTGTAGTCTCAGCTTCTCAGGAGGCTGAGGCAGAATCGCTTGAACCTGGGAGGTGGAGGCTGCAGTGAGCCGAGATTG